CCAGTTCCCCCCACTGTACTTCCCACCAGCAAACTCATACTGCAGCAGAGTACAGGTCAGGTACAACACCTACTGACAGTAGAAGAAACTCAGCCGTGGGAGTTTCTGACAAAAACAAATGGAAGAGGATGGCTGTGATGAAGGTCTATTTTCATGCCTTTGTTTTAGAACATTTCAAGTATGGCTGAAATTCTTACCCTCAGAATTTGAATAATGAGCAATGAGATTGTTACACCAGCCGCCAGCTTGAGGATTAATAGGAAGTTCCTCTGCAGAGTCATTGGACGGTAAGGGAAGACATAGAGGGAACCATTAACATTGGTGAAGTGGTAAAACGCCTCACTTCCACATCAGGGTGTTGTCATCATATTAAAACTAGAGGTGGCAAATGTTTGCGAGATCTTGTCAGGTGATTTATGCTGACATGTTTAGACAGTTTGGACTACTAAGATTATGATATTTAAGTTTGGTTACGGTATCAAAAGCTGGACAAATTGATATTTTCTATACAAACAATGGATCAAATTACTACATGCAATGTGAAAGCTGGCGCTTGTAGCGATAAACCAGTAAAGAATTATGACTGGAACCTGTGCTTACCTCCAGCTTTACGTAGCGTTTTAGGGGTTTTTAGTGTATCGTTTTGGTTTAACAGCCACAATTTTATTGTTTTGGTTCACACTCACTCCTCTCATCAACCTTTTTTCCAGTAGAGTGCAGCTGTTTTCAGCAGTTTTTCAAGCTCTGATTCAACTGAGTTCTGAAGCACTGTGCACTAACTGCCTAACCCCAAACTACAATGCATAGTTAGCAACTAGCCAATGAGCATAGTGGAGCATTTAGCAGCCAAAAATATTGATATTGTTCTCAAGTGTTGGTGCAGACAATTAAGCTGAAAGAACAGATGAGGACAGAAACACAGCTCCAAATGAACATTAATGTTAATCTGTGTGTGCTGTAGAAAACTGTTTGCCAACATATTCACCATAACAATATGGTGACGATATGCCAATGTTGTGTTAGTTAATAGTTAAATATGAAGAAAAATCCTAGGAAGACTTGGTCAGCTGGGATTCAAAGACGATTTATGGAGGCTTTTTGTAAAAAAGTAACGGTATATTTAATAAAGCATCTGCTGCAGCATATTTGTAATATTTATTATGGTGGTGCTTTCCCATGGGTTGATAAGACAGTTTTCACAGTAGACTCTGAGATATTTCATTGTTATTTTTGTGAAGCATTAGTCCAGACAGTGTCTGGACTGGTGGAATGTACAGATAATGTGTGACTAGCGCAGAATGTGAGGGTCAGGAGAGATGCTTTGAAAGGGTTCTGGAACAAAGAACAGAATGGAGGATGGAGGGGATAATGTATGTATATCTGGATTAATACAGCACAATAACACCATTGAGTTAACTGTAGCGTCTGAGATCTCTGTACTTAATGGACAGGTGCTTTGATCACACATCATCAAAGTTGAGCACAGTGGTGATGCTGCTGTGTTTTGCATTAAAGCTCTCTGTTTAACCCCGTTGTGCAGAGAGGAGACAGGACAATGGTCAGAAAGAACAGGATGGATCTATATGCTGCAACCACTAGGGGGCCCCATAGTGTAGTTCGGCTTAGCTGTTTGGTGTTTGTTCAGGAGTGCAGAGGCTCAATATCAACATCTCAGGGATGTTTCAGGCACGAAACATCAGGTGGGTTTTGTATACAACCTGAGAGGAAGTGCTCCCTGGTCTGATAATCTACACGGCCATCAAGACCACCCAGTGAGTCTGGCAACCGTGCTTATGTTCTGCATATTAGTATTCATAGTGAAAAGTGTTCTCTCTTGGGTCATTGCAGAAATGCCGTTTGTAATTGTAGTAAATAGGCTAAAAGAAAACAATAACAAATAATTTCTCTTTGTGTACATGTAAGTATCAAGAATTACATTCAGATATCCATCGTCTTTATAGATGTGTTGTGTGAGACACACTCTAACTACTCTAACTCTAACTACAACCACACACGCTGAAAGCCAGCACGGTGGCTAACAACCTCTAGCTGAGTTGGATGGTAATTCTCTGTGGTTTCCTCACTGTGACCCCTTTTCATGTTACATGTAGCCAATAAGCCTTTGTTCCTAGGCAGACATTTGGACATATCTCAGAAGGAAAAGTTGTTATTAATAATAATAATAATAATATATAAAGGCATGTTCAGTTCATTCCCTCTGCTGCTGAGCGGGTAAAGTCTGTGGTGTTTCTCATAATGCACTCCCAGCTTGTTGAACTTCTAATTATTTTTTTCACCAGATAAAAAAGTTGCAAACTTTAACAAAAATGGCTCCATAATTTCCAAAGAAATTTTAAAAAACAACTAAAAGTTACAGGGACAAGCGATAGTGGTCAAAACTAGAATAAAACCACAGCCTCCACCCGACACTGAACACACAGCTGGGTGGTTAAGTGAGTATATACGGCCATCATTCAGTCACCTGACTAAACAACAAAGCCTACGGTTTTAGATTATCACAGGTATTGACTGCAGTGAAATATATATGGTAACTGTGTTATATGCTCATGCTGTACTATAATGTCACTCATGAGAAATCTCTATTTTGAAGTCAAAATGATCTATTTTGATCAAAATGTGTGATAAGTTGTATGTACGTTGGTGTACTGCCTATGTTGTGTGTTTTCTAAAAGCTTTACTTTTCTATGCTTCAGCACAGTGCTTTTAACTGTGGTTTTGAGTCCACATTGCTGTCTTTACTGATGGATTTACTGCTATAGATTGTGTGTTTTCACAGCACTCCTCCCTTTCCCTCGTCTGCCACGGCAGTCAATATTATTTGAATGGCACTATTAAGAAAAAAATCCAGATTTGTGCACTTCATATTAAAATCCCATATCTTCTCATTCCCAATGTCATTGCCTTATTGTAAGAATTCTTATTTTTTTAGCAGTCCAAAGTGATGCATAGCTTGCTGGCTCTATTTACTGCGTGCTGAACAAAGGCCAAAGCATAGTTAGTGCTGCTTTGAGTGCTGTCACAATTTCTAAGTCATATTTACCTTTCTGTGCACAGTGTAAGAAAGAGGCTGTCTATCATTACAAAACAGAGCTTGTGGAGTCCCAATCATACCACTGCATATTGACATTATTGATAATAGCTGCTTTGCAAGCCTAAAAATATGATGCATTGTAAATACTAGCAATAATGTCTGCTATTTTGTCTTGAACCCACTGTGTTTTACCCCATGTCAGACCCCACACTGCTACAATGTAGATGTAGAATGCAAACAGGGGGGAACTTGTATGATTGCATGAGTACAGGAGGCTGGTGTTGCATCTGTATGTTGGATAAAAGAAAAGTAATTAATGAGTTTCTCTGGTATGGCTTCACCTCTGTTCATTTTCTGTTTCAAAGGTGGTTTAACAAAATAAAGAAATTAGAACTAAACTAATTATCTAGCTGTGTGCCACGTGACCTGCAGTTCTTTGGCTCAAAAGTTCAATATATCAAGCAAAATGGGGCCCTAACAAAGAAATACTCATCGTGGTCAATGAGTAACTATGCGGCATCCTCCCATTTCTTTTCACCAATGGTAGGCTAATATTTCCATTTCTTGCTATGAGTCTTTGTCTCTTTACCTAAGAGCATAAGAACAGACCTTTGTTGCAGCAGTCACAAGTTCCTTCACCTCTATAGTTGTTGTCTGTCACTTACTAGACTCATTTAACCTTAGAGACATAGAAAGTCAAGGCGAGGAGAGGCCTTAGATCAAAAGTACTTGTACGTGTCCTGAACTGCCACACTGGAAAGAGGAGTGAAAACCCAGGCTTCATAGAGAGGGGCACATGTTGGGCGACATGGTCAATGACAGTCGTGGAAGGCATTCATAGTGTTGCACTTGGTTGTTCACAGGAAAAGTGACAGGAATAGTTGTGTAAAGAATGCTAAAAGGGAAACATTTTCATTCTCCACCGGCATTAAACCGTTTATTTATTCATTCATTTACTTTACATTTTCTTCTGTCCTTATTCACAGTTCCCTAATTGCCTTCATTACAATCTAGTCACACATGATTCTCAAAAAGAAAACCAAGCAGGCTCATAAAAATCTAATTAGGGTGTTGATTAGGTTAGCAGATTGCTGAGATACAGTCTGCCTTTTGGCATGTCATTAAGTGAAAAAATATCACATGGTTTTTGCCCCTGTAGCCATGCAGAGGTTTACATATCCACCACAAGAAGTTGGTGTTTTCTTCTCTTCCTTGAAGTGCTTTGTTAACGCATGACTCTCTGACAGGTTACTCTGGCCATATGTAGCCACTTAAGGTGTCTGAGTGTTGTTGTGCTTACAAATGAAGGCTTTGTAAGCGCAGTCTGTTTTTGAACCCACTTCCTGTCATCCTCGGCCGATTGGTGTGGCGTCAGGAAAACCATCTGCAGTCTCTCTGTGTATTGAGGGAAAATGCTTTTAGTACGCACACCTGAATCCTCCACAGCTAAAACCTGTTTCCAAGCTGCTTCACCTCCTGAGCCACTCACTGCTGGATCAGCAGAGTCCCTGTGTTTTGCCATTAGCTTTTCACAAAAACTAAAAAAAAAAGAAGAAAAAAAAAACCCCACAACCAAAAGATGTTCAAATTAAAATGAAAAGCAAGTCCTAATATTTAAGAAGCTGGAACCAGAGAATAGTCGGCATGTTTGGCTGATAGAACACCTGAAACAATGAATGAATGAATGAGTAAAGCAAACAAACCCTTAAAGCTGACATCACTTTTATACAAACCAATTTCAACTCAATTCATTTGACCTTTAGGATGTACCAGGGTACTTAATAAAAACCATGCTTGGTAACTAATTATTTAGGCGGGAACATCTGTCATAACAGCTAACAGACACGTCAGGTCTCAGAGTGTGTTTAATGTAACCTCTTACTGCCACTCCTCCTGGGATGGCCCAATAGCCTCGGCTCAACTCCTGCCTTGTGTACATACATTAGTAGAGTCAACCAGTGGGATGGGGCCAGACCACTGTGACTTGATCATAGACTTCAGTCTTCGCACCAGTTAGTAACTCACAGCTGAGCCGCTTCCCTTTACTGATGCAGAAGTTGGTGTTTCCCTTCCTTTCTTTCTGTTTTCTTCAGACATCATAACGTGGATGGTAAGGCTCAGTTTTTAATCTAATTTTGTTTCATGTCCTCCTTTCATCAATGTGCAGCGAGCTGTGTATGATGGATGTCCCGGGGCATTTTTGAATCCCTGTAGGGACCTGTACATGTGAGAGGCTGTTTATGTGTGTGTTTAACACTGAATGGTGGCTATATTGGGCCACTTTTTTCTCTCCCTTTGCTGGGATGCTTTTAGTTCACCGTCTAGGGTTTTTGTTCAGAGTCAGGTGGAGGGAGACATGCGGCAGAGTTACAGTGTTTGACTCACACTCTGGTCTCCACATGACAGCTTAAAGGATTTACTGTGAGATGTACAAATGAGCTGATGACTTCAGTGTCCTCTACAACTTTTTAAATATATTTGTGAAGAACTGAAGTGTATCAGTGTCAAAGAAGTTATGTAATCATGTTATTTAAAAAGTTGTTAAAATAAATTTTAAGGTATCAGTTGATTAATCAGCTATTTTTATAAAGTTGTGGGATCGTTGAAGGCATTTTTTCTAGCAAAAACGACTAACATTCTTTGGTTCCACTTTCTCCTATGTGAGGATGTGCTGCCTTTCTCTCTTTTATATCACTATAAATTGAATATATTTGCATTTTGGGCTGTTGTTTGAGCAAATCAAGCATTCAGATGTCTAATTAGATTGTTGTGTAAGTGAGCAGTTTGTCGAGATAAAAAAAATCTGATTTTTGCCCATCGCCTTGCAGAGACTTACATATGAATTACAAGAATTTGGTTTTCCTAACTTCCTTGAAGCACTTCGGCATGTTTTTTCCTTCCCTCTGCACCACGTATGGCCCAAGAGAGGAAGGGGAGTTCCATGTAAATGAGGTAGGACAAGGCTTGATTACCAACTGGGCAAAGTGGCCAACTCTCCTGGAAAGCTCCAGTCTTACTGTGTGTTAACTGGTCTGTGCTAATTTGATTGAAAATGTATTTGGTGATATACAGCAAGTACTGCTTTATGAAAGGTTTATGTTTATATGTTGCATATTTCAACTACAATAATGCGTACAAGTACTGCACACATTCCACAGGGAGTGTGAGGAACGGGGGATTGATAGGGGCCCAGTAGCTTATATTTGCCCCTCTCTAACAGGTCACTATGTAGCCAAGATAAGGTGGAATTTTGTTGAAAATGAAGGCTTTGTAAGCGCAGTCTCTTCTGAACCCACTTCCTGTCATCCTCGGCTGATTGGTGTGGGGTCAGGACAGCCATCTGCAGTCTCTCGCTGTATTGAGGGAAAGAGCTTTGAATTTTCACAAGTGCAGCACCATTACGCACGCCTGAGTCCTCCACAACCAAAACCTTTCCAAGCGGCTTTACCTCCTGAGCCTGTCACCTCTCTTTTTGCACTTCACAATACACCAGTGCCAAAGAAATTATGTAATCAGCTATATTAAAACATTTTCACTACATCAGAAACAATTAGATTCAATTTGATTCATCAGTTGGTCAATCAACAGAAACAACTATATTGATAATTGGCTAGTCGTTAATTAAAAATATTCTTTAATTCCAAATGAAATGCAAAGCATTTTTCATTTTTTTCCAAGATTAATAATTTTTTAGACCAATCAATTAATTAAAATGAGAGAATAATTTGTAGATTAAATAAAAATCCCCAGTTTTTACATAGCAGTTCATCTTGGAAAAGTTTCTCCAGACCAGGCTTCTCTAATTATCCTTAATTAAATTATAATTATTGCAGAATGTGTGTTATTATCACATTTTTTATTTTTGACGTTCACATTTATCACAGGTAAAATATTAACGGAAATGAGCCAAAAGCTACTCATCAAATTTGAAGTAACTTGCCAATATGAGCCTTTCCGATACATTTCACTCTGTTTGGTAGGTATTTTCTGCCACTTTCTTCCAAATCCAGGCTGTTTTTGAGTATTCTTTTCCAGTTTGGCTCTCATACAGCAGTAGTCAGTAGGCAGTCTAAACGTTCCCCTAACAGTTAATCTCTTTACACAAAAGGGCACTTTGTTATGGCAGCTGCTTTGCTACAAAATGCAAATCTGTTACTACATGTTTTCTGAATTCTCTCTCTGCCTCCTTTTCTAACTTCTCCTCTCTAACAAGTTTTATTTCCACTCTCAGTTTATTGAACTCTGAGACATTCGGTTTTGTATTTTTACACTTTCTACCTCGCTGCAGGTCATGTACAAAGGCCGAAGGATTGTTTTGAACGTGGCCAAGGGGACAAGTAACTAAAATGTGTTGCCTTGCCCCCCACCCCCTCCACTCCCTCCCCACTCCTCTCCGCCCCTCCACCCCTCTCTGCCTGTCACATGTTCTTTTCACAGCATAGAAAAGTTTCTGGATTAGGGCAGAATTAACACAAAGCAGCGACGCCACTCCAGCTACACTCGCAGGCAACGCAGCAGAGGAACGAAGGAGGGACCGGGACGCTCGAGCGAACGCCACCTCCGAAAAACTCCAAAACTCTGGAAGTGAGAGACGGACGAGTCCATCCCAGAGAGAGAGAGAGAAAGAGAGAGAGAGAGAGCGAGGCAGGGGATCTTTGCCGACAAGGTCCTGAAGGATGGAAGAGAAGCAGTTTGCTGGGATCCTGGTAAGTTTGACTTTTGTTCAGTGAACATACACATACATACATACATACATACATACACACATACACACAGATACACACACTTTAAAGGCAGTAACACAGATATAGAAGTTTATAAACACACAGAGATGCTGTACATGGAGGCAGCCACGTCTCTGAGTTTGCTGGTGGGATGCAGCTGCTGGACCACCAGTTGAGTCACTCTCTGCCTCCCCCTTTTCCCCCTTTCACTTTCTTATTCTGTGTGTTTTTCCTTTTATATTTTATTTTATAAACACTCAAAAGCAGAGGGTTATAGTTTTTAAGAATACCTCTTTAACTTGGAAACACTTTTTATCTTTTCATCCGACCTACAACTTGCCCCAAGTTGCCCCAGTTTGCACTGACTGATAGGCCTGCAGTTTTCCATCTGAGCGGTCCACTATGTTGGTGTTGGTGTTGGAGTGCGGCGGGCAGAGATGTCATCACCTGCTGTTCGCCATGGCAATGCTAAGCACACATCATCATCATCTGAACTCTGCCCCAAAAGTTCCCGAAATGTGTCTCAACTCACAGTCACAGAACCGTCCCTCTCATCCCTCAGCTCTGCTTTCACAGCGCCCCATCTGCTCTGATCCGTGCAACTTGGGTAAACAATAAACATGCTTTCAGTGTTCTTTGGCTGCTGATAAGAGGTGAGGCCAAGAGGTAAATGTGTCAGTGCCGGGGCCTTTGCCGCTGGTGAAGCTTTAAATAGAGGTTTGGTGTCATTGGCAGTCAGGTCACTTCTCTCTCTCTCTCCCTCTCTCTCTCTCCCTTCAGTCCAAGTTCTTCAGTCCGTCTTGAGACGGTGATAAACACAAACTCAGAGCTCCAACTCTCTGCTGACATTCTCGCTCATTTGAAGCCTCGCTTTCCTCCCCGATGGTGTTTTTTTTTTCTTCCGCCACGTCCTTTTGAGATGCATATCCACGTTAAAATGCATACGCTCTGTCTGAACTTGAGGGGGTGTGTGTGTGGGGGGGTGTTATCAGCCTCGCCCGCTCCCTCCTCTCGCTCTCTCTCAACATTTGAAAGCGGTTGGAGGATGAAGATTTGAGTCTTGAGAACTTTTTTAGTGTCTGTTTTTTTTTTTTTTTCGCATTTTCAGCTCAGTGACAGATGCCAATCAATCTTTTGCATAGTTAGGCGCTGTTCTGTGAGTTCAGATATGGCTGTCTAAGGGATTCAAATGTAATTAAATGATAGTCACAAGGAGGGTTTGAATTGTTTCCCCATGGAAGGGGTTTTGCTTTGGATATGTGCCGGTTTAAGATCTAGATCTAAGTGGAACTCTGTGGTCACTGTGAATATATTTATCTCTTTACTGCCCCTCACACACACACACACACACACACATACCCTGTTTCCACTAAATTAGCTCTGGTTCTTGAACGGGTTTTGTTCAAGATTCTTGGAACCACCAGTTTTGAGAGGAACCATTGTAATCAAGGAGCACAACAATGTGTAGAACTTTGCACTCCCAATTTAGTTCCCAAGAAGAACCTGCTATCTTTTTGGGTTCCGAACCACTTTCTTAATAAAACTATTCTATGTTTTAGTTCCATTTTAAAAGTATGCAGTATATTTTCATGATTATCATGATGGCCAAGATATTTGTGACATGAAATTTTAATATCGTCCCCTGCCTACCATAGAATGAGCTGTTTTTATCTACAGACTCTGTGGGTCGCCTTCCATGGAGTCCTCCATGTTGAACCGCCATGTTTCTGTAGATAGGCCCTTTCACATTTTCCGCAAGTTTTGTGGCTACGGTAGTTACTCCTAAACACTTCAGAGCCCGTTCTCATTCACAGGTTGTCAAATACAGATGCTAGCCGTGTTTAGTTAGCTGCCACTTCACTGCAAGATGCCAGTAAATCACACACTGGTGGTCCTTGAACTATTTGAGTGTTACTGTGGGATTTCATGAAGTGTTTTGCATTTGGCAGCATCTTCTCTAACACAAAGTATACATTTTGAGGGGAAAAGTGCAGCTTTTAATTGGATATCACCAAAATAAAAGCTTCAGTAAAGTTCAACTCAGTTAAAAGTTTAAAAGGTGCCAGTGGTAAAGTGGATATTATGACTTAAATGCTACATAAAAAGGTGTAATGCATTCCATATCTACATATTCATGGCGAGCTGGGCCTTTGGCTGTATTATTACTTTGAGATGCTAATAACCACATATCAGTCCCGCTTTCTTGACCAGAGCCTCCTCTTATCACTAATATAAATGATTGCTTATTTAATTTGGCTGAAGGCATCACAGCAGAAGGCAAAGACTTTGTTTGCTCTCGAAATCGAAACGTTTTTTTCCCCGGCCAACATGAAGTGATTCGTTGTTTAAGGTCAATTCACTTGATCTGGCAGGGAATCGAAAATGACAAAGCAATTTAAAACTGATGCACAGAAGAAGACGTGTGGCTGAAACACAGTTTTAAAAACTACTCTACTATTAGGGCATTAAGTTGCGCTCTTTTCTCTCTAACTCTTGCTTTCGTACTGTTCACAAGTCACTAAGTTTTCCCCAGAGATTAGAGCGTAACGGACACACATGTCTTATCTCTGAAGGTAAACATGGCACCGAGCTGCGGGTAGATTGTACAACAACTCCAGCAGACAACTGCTCATGCACACTTACACACAGCTCTCCCCTCGCGATTGGTCGCTTCTCATGGCTGGGACCGTTGTCCTCAGCAGTGGCGGACAGTGATGTCAGTGGCTTTGAGACATAAACAAAGAGTGAAAGAAAGTGTGTGTGTGTGTGTGTGTGTGTGTGTGTGTGTGTGTGTGTGTGTGTGTGTGTGTGTGTGTATGTGTGTGTGTGTGTGTGTGTGTGTGAGAGAGAGAGATTTACGGACAGAATCTTAGACCTTGCTCTCCCATCGCCAACTGTCACTACAATGTTTACTCCGTTCCTCCCTCTCCTCATCTCTTCTCTGCTCTCCTTCCTCATCCATCTTTTCACATTCAGAGGATGATGGATTTCCAAAACTCTTTTCCCCCTCATTTCCTATTTAATCCACATCATCTTTACCTCCGTTTGGAGAGTGGAAAGCGCCCTTTCCTGGTGTGTTTTCTCAACATAGTGCAACTGTTTTTCCGTGCCCTTTTCTCTACAGTCTGGTTAAATTTATTTATGCTGGTCCAGATGGTTGGTGGATGGACCCGTCACCGTAAATTTCGTGAAACACAAGGCGCTCGCTTCCTGCTACCGCTTGGCTCGGCTGGTAGCCTTCTGCCGGGACGCTTTCTGTCCAAACTTAATTCCCCTGCTCGTTCACAGGGTTCAAAGGGAGCCCCCTCTCCTCAATCTTCCAGCGCTGTCTTTGACTGCCCTGGAAGCCACCACTTCCACTGAGCGGATGAGCAGATGGCGCCCTGGCACTAGCTTTTACTGGACGGATAGTTGTCTCTTTGTTTTTACTCCTTAGTTACTTCTTTTCGACTCGTCTTTGAAATGTCTGCTGTTTGGGTGTATATATATAGGGATCTGAGAGGAGGAGGAGGAGTTGTGCTCATTTTTCTACTGAGCGCTGTATTCATATGTCTGGCTACACAGACCACTGCTGGCCCTCTATCGCCATGAAGGCCAAATGGAGGGCGAGGTCAAGGAATACTGGCTGCTGATCAAAGTTTAACATTGGCAAGGCTGTAAATGTTACTTTTCATCCACACTTTATAAGATTTTTGGAGTGATAATTAAGATGGCTAATTGGACATTCTGATGACACTTTCTGATGCTATATGACAAGATACGTTACATATACTGTATTCTCTAATTGGTCATTGTGCTCAAAAAATTAGAGAAAATAATATATATGTAACGTATCATCTTGAAGTAACGTCACAGTTGAATTTCACTTCTGCTTATCTGGTTTATCACATACTGATTCACATTCTTGTCAGTTTTTTAAGTAAATAACCCAAAATATATTAGATATAAACAAAAATCACATTAAACTTCACCAGGTGTTGGGCTTGAACTAGGGATGTCAAGTTTTTCTGGTACAGATTCTACTATAGTCTTTTAATAATGAGTGCCTGCCATTACTGTGTCCTGACACTATAATAACAGCTGTAGCCTTCTTAATCTGACACGACTTTCACAAGCTTCTTAATAAAAATGGTGGACATCTTGGTTAAAGAATATTAAGTTGATAGTCTTGAGTTGGTGTTATGTAAAGTTTAACTGGGAGAATGTGAATTTAAGGTGATGGGTTTAGGGGTTAAGGGTCAACTAGAGCGTTTAATTGGAGAAAATGTGTCACTCTGTTGGACTTACTTACTTGGAACTACAAAAAATGCTCGCAGTGCACAGAGTTCCTCCCTCACAAAGAATCTGTGGGCCAGAGTACGGACACCGGCTGAAGAAAGCACACAAAACAGACAACAGACTAGTTTCATTTTGGCCCGTTATCAACTTACTCACAGAATTAATACTAATTAGTGACAGCTGATATGATCTGCTGCCGGCTGTCATTTCAACTTGTGAAGGCATTTTGTACACTGCTTTTTGCTAATGAATAAAGATGACAAAGATGAGCATAATAACTGATTCATTCCGAGCTTAGCGAATCTGTGTATTTTGCTCACCTGGACATCAGAATTCACACACTTTCATTCTCACTCTCTGTAGAGCTCTGCTGTCATTAAGGGGGCAGGTTGTGATGGACAACACACAGAAGAGTTCAGTTCAGTAAAGAAAGGATTTGATCGGCTTTTTTTTAACCAACACCGATCCATTAAAATATGGCTGTGTCGGCTCTGATACCGGCTGGCTCAGGACTTCTCTACCAAAAAATCATTCATCATAAATGATGAGGTCTAGATGATGATGTGATCCGTTTTGCTTAAAAAGTCAAATACAGACAATATAATACTAGTAGTATTCTCTGTTGCCATTAAGATTATTGTTATTATTGATTAATCTGCCAATAATGTTTTGGATTTGTTTGGTCTATGAAACGTACAAAAAGA